TCACGATATTATTTCTTCACATAAACCCTAAGGCCTGGAAGGTGGTGGAAGTGAATGTTTGCTAATGAATTATTAACCACTGTGGAGAAAGGAAAACCTATTCCCACCCGCCCCTCCCCCCCGAGATATTTTCTTGCCATTCTTTGTCTTAGAAGCAAACAATGGGCACATTAAAAAACAATGCACTGTGTTTTGTTTTGTTTTTACTTTCCCAGTAACATTAGGTGGTTAGGAGAGAGAACAGTTCAAGGGTGAAAGCAGAGACAGACATATTAGGAGAATTTAATATTTTTACTAGAGTTTTGAAAGAAATACGCTACCCTGATTTATCACCAAATTCCTCATTTTACTATCTTCTATTCAATCTGTTGGTAATCTTCCAATAGTAGTATAAGGCAACAACTGAGGACCCTTACCCACACCACTTTCACATGTATGTCAGACCTCAAGATGCACCGAAAACTCCAAGGTTTTTATTTCCACTTTAATTATCTTTTACTTAATAATAAAATGAAAAATAAGAATATATGAATACATACAATCTATATACATATATTTATTGCAAATACTTAAAATTCTTATGTAAAATGATTTTTCTATATTTGTGAAAAAATATGACTTTTTAAATGGTGTTGACACCAACTTCTCTGTACATACCCTCAATTCCAATGTTAACAATTCCTTTAAAAAGGCAAAAGACACAAAAGTTTAGCATTTACCAAACCAGTCTGTACAAATCTTTTAGCCAGAAGGAAAAAAAAAATAGCTTGTGGTAAATAAGTCAATTTTCTTTTAAAATAAAAAATAAACTCCCAAACTCTTCCCCTTATTGCATTTTTTTGGAAATAATCTGAGTGTCTTTAGAGTAACTTCCTTTGAAATAATTTGTGCCTTAACAGTGAGGCCCTACATTAAACATACCTTATATGAGAAATTCAAAGTCTCCCACTGTCACTTTTTACATAGATATTAAAATATATATTACTTAAAATATATTACTGGAAAGCTATTTTTAAAATTGATCTTTAATAGTTGTATCAAATGTAAAGCATTAAAAAAAATAAGTAACCAAGAATCTATGAAGGTCTTACTTCCAACTTTAGGAACTGTTTTACCTATTGTTCTCTTTCAATAGGTTATGTAGGTATTGAAACACGGTAGGAAAGATCCCTGCCTATCAATCATGTTTCTCGGAGTCTCTTTGGACTATTCTACAAATTGAGCTGCAAACTACCCTTGGCCAAGTTTTTTTACTTAGCACATTGTTGTAATGCAACAGGGAGACTTTTCTCTCCTTGCTGTGAAATCTGTAGGTCAGAGAGAAAACAACCCTGGTACTGCTCACTGACAATGAGCTCTAGAAACAAATAGTGATGTAATGACCAGAGAAGACCCCCTCATTGTAACAAGTAATTTCACCAAAGAGTTCTTGAAGGACTCTTAGGTGAAGAAAGGCAATAAGAGCAATTAGGATGGTAAACGGTCCAATTATTAATGTACGAATTTATGCCTTCACCTGGAAGGCAATGACGTCCTCCTTTGGCTATTTATTTAAATCTGTGATAACTCCTAAAATGTCTACACTGTGTGCCTTCCCAGCCCATGTAAGTATGCTTCCCCTGCCCCAAGAAAAATTTCCCATCTGCCAGACCTTATTCTTAAAGATGTTACATGGGGTACCACAGACAGCTTCAGTATCTTCAACACAGGGGTTACGTAGGGCAAACAACTCCAGGTTATTTGGCTTTATTTTCTGTTTAATAGGATGGAGAATTTTAACAAAAAATTATTTAAAATTTAGGGAGTCTTCTCTACTAGACAACTTAGAACATTCCCAAGTAAGACTGAGGTGATATATTGTTAATGCCACCTCCCCAAGGTGGCCTGAAGTGGAAGGTTATCTGAAGGCTTGAGAAGCATATGCTGGAGGCATAAGCATCAGGCATAATGCCTGACTAGTCACTGGAAATGGTGCAACTTAATACCATAAAAAGAAGCTTAGCACTTATTAGAAACATTTCAGACTGAATTGAAAGGTAAAGTAACTGAAAACCTAAGATAAAAACTGCTTTAAAGGTACTGGAATACCATATTCTAATAATTTAAAGGTTTTCTTGTTCCTACTGATTCATTTTCAAAAGGGCCAGATTGTAATTTTTCTTTTTTTCTTCTCAGCTCATCCAGCACAAGATGAATGACCTTCTATGTGAAACCGTTTTGAAACCAACTGATAAATAGATTGCATTCAATTTTCTACCAATCTAAGAGAATCTAACTATTCTCTCATTTAGTCAAGAGTGAGGCAGTGTACCTAGTTGACGATTTATTGAATATTTTATTAGCTGGGTATTATCTGTAAAGAGAATCTGGTGAATAGTAATGCTTAGGACCTATCTGCCAGAGCCTGGGTCAAGATGAATAGGCACGATATGGTTTGCTCTCTAAATGGACTTGAAAATCCCTGATGCCTTTCCTCCTTTCCTGGTTAGTCTGTCCATCCTCAGATTAAGAGAACCATGGAGGAGAGACTTTCTGTGATAGGAAAGGTGTGAAGAAGAAAAATCATTTTGAAAATCCAAATTGGTTAACTCGTGCTCACCGTAGGGTCGGTTCTGAAACAGTCAACCACTTCCGGCAGGCAGACCACCCCTCAGTCCTGCCACTCAAGTGGGGAGTGAGGAAGCTGGGAATGGAGAGTTTTAACTAGCAATAGGTCTTTTTAACACCCCCTGGGATTACCCAGGGCACTGAAAGTTTGGGAACAGAACCATGGTTTCTGACTCCTACTGGTTATTGGCTGGAGAACTTGCTCCTTACCCCTGGATCCTTACAGATTTCTTACCTCTTAGCTATGTGTGTGCTGGAAGAAAAAGGGAAGTTAGAAGGACATCAAATTATCTTGGTTGAAACTAGAACACAGATATTAATCCTGTATTTGCTCTGGACCACGAAAAACTCAGAAACAAAAAATAAAAAATAGAAGTAAATAGTTTCTTATGGGGCTTGAAAGTATTAAAAGAGTGTATGTATAATGCAGGAGGTGAGGTAGGGAGGGGTGGGTAGCAGAATGGGTGCAAAGCTAAGATTACTACTGCCTACTTGCCCCTAATCTGGAATGTGACTTATTTAACGAGTTTAAACTGTTCTGCAGGGGGATTCCCTGGTTGCGCAGTGGTTGAGAGTCAGCCTGCTGATGCAGGGGACACGGGTTCGTGCCCCGGTCCGGGAAGATCCCACATGCCATGGAGAGGCTGGGCCCGTGAGCCATGGCCGCTGAGCCTGCGTGTCCGGAGCCTGTGCTCCGCAACGGGAGAGGCCACAACAGCGAGAGGCCCGTGTACCGCAAAAAAACACCAAAAAACAAAAAAACTGTTCTGCGTTTTGTATATATCACATCCTGAATATTAAGTACAACTATGACTGTACTAGGTTGCACTAATAATATATGTCCTTTACATACATGAAATTAGGAGATTTGAAATCAATATGCAAATGATGCACATTGACAATCCCCAACTTTTAAATACCGAATTCTGGTAAACTGTAGATTTATTTTAATGTTCTTTAACCATGACCTAAATGTATGTACTCAAAAATTCTTTAGTCACTAGAGACAGGATTCAACATAAAGGAAACAAAAAATAAACAAAAACAAACAATAAAAATTTGCAGCTGATTTCTTTTCCTTTCTAGATGTTCCCTAAGTCATTCACTAAAGCCCCTTTACATTAGAAATTTCTAGTGTGTAGAGAGCAGTAGTCCAAGAAAGGGGACATGTTTTCTAAAACAGGAAAAGTGTCTGACTTTTACGGTGTGTGTGTGTGCATGCACGCGTGTATGTTCAGAGTAATATATAAGATTACTCCCATATTTCTCAGATGCCTGGGAGGTCAAAACAGGTTTAACAGAATGGGCAAATGTGGTATTAATGAGTTTTTCTACCTGTAGCAAAAGCTAACTGTAGAACATTAGGTAACAGGTTGGGAGAGAAGAGGATGAGAGGGCCTACTTTGTTTCTAGTGTTAAAATTGTTTTCCAAAGTTCTTTATGTTCAGTTCAACAGTTTCTGCACCTTTACTCTGCTTACCCAACGAAACACATAGTTCACATCGCCCTACCACTAACAATTTTCTGTTAATTTTATACTAGTATTTCAAACTTGTTTGTAAGCTCCCACGAATGACTAAATCCTCAGAGATTATTGCTGGAATTACTGCCCTGCACAGGTGATGGTAACCCAAGGGGCCCAGCGAGGCAAACTTTTCATGGACCATACACGCTGCTTCAGGGCAAGGGAGTGGGATTAGGGAACAGCAGGGACCCACAAACTGCAAGCAGAGTGCCTGGCAATAGTACTCATTTATGCAAGCCAAGAACCAAGTCAGAATTTTCAGAGTCTGAAGTACTGCCTGTGAAATTAATACCTTATCAAAAATTTGAACTTGAGAAGGCTCCATCTAAGGTAAAGGGACTGAGTAAACCCTGAATCCAAATCCTGTGAAGGCTGAATAACCTATGTAAAGCCTGCAGTCAGACAGTCAAGACATAATCAACATGAGTGGTCATTTCTTCAGACCATTCCCTCACTCCTTTCTTTTCCTAGCCTCTTAAGGAAGGGCAGAAGGGAAATCGCTTCCTTTCACCATGCATGGCATTAAACTTTTCAGTCACATGAAGTGGAACATCCATCTGAAGTCAAAGTAATACATTATTACCTAAACACCTGGAAAAATGTTAAAACAAGATGTGACATATTTACATTTTGTAAGTGCAAACTTGTCACAAATTCACAAAGTCTTGCTTGACTTGGACTTACTATACAAGGTGCTTTTCCTCTAAAATGTAAGATCTGTACTCTGTATTCCTGGTTAAGTAACACTTGTCTCTTAAGACAACTGAAGCCTAGTTTATTTCTGTGATTCCAAAAGAACTCAAAAACCACATCTGTCAACCCTTCCCCCTTCCTGCCTTCTTTACAGTGTGTTCTCCTTCTAGTCTCATTACCGAACGACAAGGCAGGAGACACACAGTTTGGAGGGGCCAATGCAATCATCGTGGCAGAAGGCTCCACACCCCTTGCACATGATCATGGCTTTCAATCGGCAGTAACATTTCGAAGGTGTGTCCTCTATGCTGTTCTCTTCAGGAAAGGCCTGAACAGGAATGGTCTGGCCGTGGTTGCTGGGATTCATAGCTTGGCTAGCAGGGATGGTTGTGACAGTCACTGAAAAGGACATGACATCACCGACATTGCTAGATACCTGGCTACAGTCAGGCATCCCCGGTACAGCAGAGTTATGGTCCATGTCCGATGAGGTGGAGACGTTGATCATGCCTCTGTAGCTTGGCCCAATCTGTGTGGGGCTTCCATACAGCTTTGGGGTTTGCAGTGGTGGAAGGAGTAGAGACTGATGGGTAGGACTGTCTGCAGGTAGAGGAAGAGCAGTAGAATTGAAAAGCTCAGGGCTGCTCCGCACAGTCTTACCTCTCACTGCATGAGCCATCTGCTTCTGTGCTGCCTGAATAAAATCTCTGGCTAGGGTCTTCTCATCAAATGTTTGGCCTCTAGTGAACAGGTAATTTTCCTTGCTTAAAGTGGTTTGCTCAGGCACTGGCATCTCTGCCTTCACATTCTTTTTAGCTGAACAATCACTGGTGGATAGTGTTTCTCTACTGTGGGGTCCTGAACTTGCTTCACACTTGCCAGAACTCTGGGAAGCCTGCGGCTCCTCCTTCACCATGACAGATTCTTGCTCATCACCAGTACTTTCCTCATCAGTATCATCTTCTTTACCGCTGCTACTATCTCCTGCTGCATTTTTACAATCTGCATATCCCATCTTCAAGGCCTCAGTGGGGCTACTTAGACAAAATCGGTCTTCGGGGTTTATAGAATGGGTCCTCCTAAGGCTCTCTGAACCCCGGCCATAGGTGGAAATGTTAAGTAAGTAGTGACCTGCCATTGCAGGCTTGGATGTCCTTCTGCCAGCAAAACCCAGCATAAACCTCTGGCTTGTGGAGATGTCCTCTAACTGGAAACCTGAGTGAGTGAAGTTGAACTGGGAGGGCTGCACAAACGAGAGAACATTCTGCCTCCGAACCCTTTGGATGAGTGTCTGAAGGATCTGATCTTGGGTTGCTTTACTTAGCCCTTCTTGGTATTGGTGTGTGTCAATACTAGCGTCCCTTAAATCCTTACCGGAAAAGAGCTGAAGGGGTCTTGGAACCTGGGGGAGCTGCTTACTTTGCAAACTTTTACCCAGTTGCTGTGTAGCTGGATGGGACTGTCTCTCATTAACCTCCTCTCTGGTGCTATTTTCTGTTACGCTGGTACCTGCGAGTGCTCCTATCATCATCCCCTTTTCCTCTTTTGTAGTTAGTGGAACAGTTTTCATTTCAACTTTGGTGAGAGGTTTAGGCAGAATTTGCTCCAGGGGAACATCTTTGCCTTGCAGCAGCTGAGTTACCAAAGGATTATTAGCAGGGATATTAGAGCTTGGCCTTGAAATGGGTCCATTCATACTCGAAGAAGCTCCTGGGGTCTTAAGGCTAGAAGCTGCTGGCAAAGTGCTCGAGGATGGAGCTGATCCAGTAGGTGCTATGGTTACAACGACCTGGGGTACAGGAAGCTTCTCTGAAGAGGCTGTTGTTAATAAAGATGTTAAAGGGGAGGGAGTCATGTCCACTGAAGCACTAGCACTTATCTCCGCTGAGGCTGGAGGGTTTGGTGTATTCTTACTAGAACCTGCTTTGGGCTCAACTGTGCCATCGACTGCAAAATGAATAGGTGAGGCACCTGCGATTAGAGCAGGATCTGCTGGAGCAGGAGGTGCTTTCTCCTGCCTACCATTACTGGGCCCTTGTGGGTGGCTAAGAGAGGCCACCGTGGCTGCTGCCCTGGTGGGATTCAGTTTTTCATTACTTACTTTCCCTAAAGCTGGTGGGGGTGTGTTAGCGTGGGCTGGTGACGGGACACTTGAGCACGCTCCACTGATGGCAGATGGTGGAGGCACTGAGGAGGTTTGCTGTAGTTGTGCTCCAGAGACACTGTGAGACTGTGCCTGGCCTGGGGTCTTGGTCTCAGATTGGGGCTGAGTCTCTGGACCACAGGGTAAAAGCTCTCTCGTACCTCCCCTGCTTCCAGTTCCTGCCAGTTCCAGTGTGGGGCCCTTTCCAGTTTCACTGACTCTGTTTGAGTCTGGACTCCCTCCTCTAGCAGTTCTCCTTTCAGCCCCCTCTCCTGGACCTTGTCCACCCCCTGGGCCAGGTCCTGGAATGGTCCCTCCAACTGAGGCGGCTGCAGCAGCTGCGGCTGCAGCAGCAGCTGCTGCCCTCTGTGCTTTGACCAGCTGGGCTTTTGCTTTGATGTCTGCGAGAGTTCTGGCTCCTGTTCTGTTAGGACTAGTGATGGAGATTGGAAAACGAGCCCTGGGAGAGACCTGCGATGTAGGAAACGGCATGGGGGAGATTCTGGAGACCGGGATCTGAAAGAATTAGGGGGGAAGAAAACAACAGAGCTTAGTTTTCATTTATAAGAGCAATCAAACTTCATTAACACAAATTCTGAGTAGGGTGAACCCTATGACAAGGACGGGAAGCCCGTGACTAAGAGACCAAACCATGGGGACAGCCACAAAGGTTTGTCTCCAGGATCCTTTCACCTCCTCTATTGGTGCTACGGACTCCCCTCCCTCGACATCCAATCCCACCCCAAAGCCTCAAACCTCTTCTTACAACACAGCTCTCTCTTAATGTCATTACTACTCATAACAGCTGATCATTTAAGATAGAGACCTTTCTATGGTATCTATTTTAAACTGTGTGTAAAAGCGAGAAGACAGAAACAGAAGAGATAAAGAAGTAGCACGCCACTACTGTATTTTACTTCTTCGCTTTACTACCGAGGTCCAGAGGACAATTCTTGTTCTCTTCTCTGTTACACACGCACACTTGCACAGCTAAGCACATAGGCTGAATTATCTCAAATAACAGAGGCTTCTAAACTGCACTGGAAGGAAGACTGTGTGATCCACTCTGCCCACCCACATGACGGGGTATGTATATAATGTCTGTAATGTTAACCAAAGTCATTCTCACCCCCTGCTGTGGAGCTTTTAAAAAATATACACCCTCTCAGTCCTGTCCCTAAAATTACAAATTAGAACTCCTAGAGAAAAAATGCATTTCTAGAAAGCTTCTTACGAGATTCTGATGCATCATTAGGTTTGAAACCACTGATTTTCATATCATAAAATATTATACCTGAAATGAATCTGACTCCTGTTCAAAACAATACTTTGAAAGCTACTGGAATTAAGTAGAATGAACCAGTATCTGGGCCTTTCTAATAGTTGGCAGAATTTAAAAGAGCCAAATAACTGTTACAGATGTCCTAGGACATGTAATTAAAAACATATTAAGCCGCTGAGCTCTAAGAAAATGCATGTCATCTTTCTGGAACTCCTTAAATTGAGACTAATGAAGTCACTAAAGATTTTTCATTATCTGCAATACCCATTTCTTTCTTTCTTTTTTTTTTTTGAAATTCTTCATTATTTTTAATTTTTTCTAATTTTTTAAAAAATTTGCTTGACAGGGTCTATTTCCAAATCAAAAAACAAGACTGTTCTTTTCCAAAAACCAGCCTTTAATTGTATCTATCAAGCATAGTGTTTGCTCTCCAATTGGTTACTTTAGGTTTTCCATTTTGCAATACCCATTTCTAAAAAGGTCAGCAGTCCTGAAGAACTCCCTGTCATTCAGAAGTTAGACCTCTAGGATTCTGTAACACCTGTCACAAAGCCCACATATTTCTCATCATGAGATATACTCAATCTCTCTCTTAAAGCTGAAATCTACTTTACATCCAACTGCACACAGTATTTTAGAAGCTGCCCAGAATAAGAAAGAAGCAACTGTTGCCCCTTGGTAATACCATCTAGAAGAGACAACTAATAGGGGGAAAAACGGATAAAACTAGAAAATTAAAAACAAGAAAGTAAAAAGCACAGTTGTACAGGGCAATCGTATATAGGGAACAAGCAACCTTACATTAGAATAATCTTGAGAATAACAACATATCCAGCACAATAAAGGATACCTATCATAATGACTGAATATCATTAATAACATGTTGATTAAATAAGGACAATCCTTAAGAGTGGTTAAAATAAAAAGTTTTAATGCTTAAAAAATGAGAATTTTCAGTTATTTACGTAACTAGTCCTATTACCCGTTTATGTAGAATAAATGAGATGTTATACTTTTTTTTTAAGTACAAAAACCACACAAGCTTTCTAGGCACTGATAACAATTCAACAATTTAACTTATTGAGAAGCCCTACCCTGGTATAGCAAAGGAATTAGATTCTTTCTGTTATAATTGTATACTGAATGGAAAATACATAATGTCTGTTTGAGTTGCCCATCTCCACATATACATATATGTACACATTTTATATTGCATATATGCATATATAAAATAGATATACGTGCATATATAATTTTATACACATGTACATATATATTTGTAATAAAATTCAAATTTTGTTTTTCTATTTAAGTTTTGTTTAAAAGATTTTGTTCTGTTATAAAATACATTAAGCTTTGTCTAAGAAAATGGGATTTGAGATAGGGTCTAAGGTACGAGCGTTACTAAAGCAACTTCTGGTGGAAAGTTTTTGGGGAAATGAGGAAGAAGTAAAAGAAAGGAAAGAAGTTAAATAACATTAACTTGGTCACAATGGATTTAAGTTTTCAGTGTAGAGTCTCTGGATTAGCAGAAAGATGAGGAAATAGAAATGATGGTTCTTACCCAGCGTCATTTAAGTAAAACCTAGACTATAACTCAGCTCTCAGGTTTAGAGATAAGTTCTAATTGACACGCATTAAAGAAAGGTTTCTCATATTTTTATAAGAAGAATACAAGTGATTATCATAGAACTCAGAATCTCTAGCAAAGCATGACAGTGTATGCTGATGGTAAAAAATGTCGAAAAAAAAAAAAGAAAAAGAAAAAAGGAGAGATTCCTAAGTGCTGAAATCACAAATCTTAAAATTAAAAAGTAATGAAGAACATCATACTATTATGGTGCAAAATGAGAGAGAGAAGTGTCACAGTGCATGAAACAGGTCAAGTACTAGTAACTGAGTGTTTCCAAGGGATATTTCCAGGTAGGACTTTGGTTAGTCTAAGTTGAATAAAAAAGGGAAAACAGTATTTCTATTTGGCTTATTTTGTTTTACTTATATTCTAATGTGAATGAATGCTACCCAGTGCCTGGGTTCATAGTAGACACAACAGTGTTAATAAATACTATTAATAAAATGAAGAATGAACTGCAAACTGATATTAGGCACAAGCCCAAGTACACACTGAGGTAGTGACACTGCTATAGAAATTTAAAAGATCTGATATGCAGCAACATAGGGGTAAAACACAAGTTAATCACATATCCTAAGCAGTAGAGCTTAGCAAGGCTATTCCATCTTACTAAGGTCCCTCAAGTGACCAGTGGTGACTCATGGCAGCCACACACATTTCCTTTAAAAGGTTGGAACTAAAAGGTAGTTCCAGGCTCTCAGGACATCAAATCAGTTATGGCAGCAATAATTAACACATTATTGACTGGGAATTTTTGTAGAAACTAATGCCTGTGGCCGTAATACGTCTCTAGTCAATAAAGCGTTAAATATCATGGCTCTTGATACAAAGATGTGATCTCTTAATCACATCAATGACCTCCTCCTGTTTATTATTATACTTATTATTTTGTCACATGAGACAAAATACTTTCCATAACTGTCTTAAAATACAAGAGTAGCCAGCAGGGGTGTGGGTGGGGGTGGATTGCATTAGATATTCAGATATCTGAATAAGCATTCAAACCCCAAAAAAGATCTGTGAGGACGCAGTTCTTTTATTTATGATTTTTTTAATTGGAATATAATTGCTTTACAATGTCTTAGTTTCTGCTGCAGAACAAAGTGAATCAGCTATATGTATACATATAAGGATGCAGTTCTAAATGCCTGTTTCTTAATCATTTTGCTCATGTATGACCACAGTTACATGCATATCAAATATATACAACTGCTTCTGCATTAAGAAATACCACAAATATGTGAAACTTAGTAGGTACAACCAAAAACTTAGTGTTCAGACCATCTTTCTTTGTCAATTCTTCCCGCTCTCTTACCTTGAGAGGTGGTACTTTCCGCACCTGGAACCTGTCCCCTCTACTGAGAAAGGGCTGTGGGGAGACTTGAAATGGCTGCTGGTGCTGGCGATTCTCAATGACACGTGGTCTTTTCTCCCAGCTTGTAGGGGCCTCTTCTTGGGTGACAGAAGATTTCCTCTTGAGGCTTTCTGGGCTGTGATCAGCCAGAGTTGATGGAGGCTCTTTCATAGTGGTCTCCTGTAGACCTGCTTCTACTATGGGCTTCACTACTGTTGTTTCTACCCCAGGGCTCTTGGGTTTGCTCAGGGATGTAACTAAAGCTTCTTGGCTTTCATTTTTGTTATAATTTGAAGTTGTAGTGAGATGATTCTCCTTCTCAGACTTCTGTTCAGCAGAGGCAACTGGCTTTTGCTCCAAGAGAGCCTCATCCTTTGGGCACTTGATGGGAGGAACGCTGCTAAGCTCATTTGTATTGGTAGCTGAGGAAAGGAGGGGCTCTGGGGATTTGGAGTTTGGCTGCATCTCATCTTGGCTTTCATGCTCTTCTTTTCTGACTGGTGATGGCAGTTGTAGTACTTCTTCTGTAGACACTAACTGGGGAATTACTGAGACTATACTGACAGGAGAGGCCTCTGAAGGAAGCATGGATTTTGGTTGCTCAGCTGGGGTTTTCTTTACTTTGGGATCGTTGGGTGAAGCTGTCAATTTCTTTGAATCTTCAAGGCTCAGGCCAGAACTAAAAGGTGGAAGAAAGAAATATTGTAGTTGAGAAATGGCCTATGTTATTGAATATATTATGAGATAACGGTGTATGGCAATGCCTAGAAGAACCTGTGACACTTAGTATGTAATTTTCATGTATCATCTTCACGGTTATTCATATTAGTGAAGGGTCTGGAGCCAGAGTGCCTGGATTCAGATCCTAGCTCTGATACCTACTATCCACGTAATAAGTAAGTGACTAGCCTTCTGTATCTCAGTTTCTTTAATTGTACCTGTGTTGCTATTATGAGTAACTAAATTAATGCATGTACAGTACTTAGAATAGCACCTAGCACATAATAAAAGCTCAATATAATGTTAATTATTATCACTTCTGCTTACAAAGGGGCTACATTGCCTAGAGGCATGGATCACAGACTACCCACAGAGAAGTTAAAGAAGACAAAGACCCATGTACCCTGGGACTGTGGGTTTGGATGGTGATCAGCTCTACTCTGCAGTACCTGTAGAAAGGCTGGCCCAAGAAATCTAAGGGACCCAGAGGAGACAGCAGGAGAGCTGGCTGTCAATATTCGCTAGAGGCTGAAAACGAGAACTCTGAGTTTTTGGAAAGCCTGTTTAAATTTCACTTGGTATAGCTCTAAAATTCTGAGATCAAGTGCCTCTGAGCTATCCTGGGAGTGAAGACCAAGTGAGACTTCCACAGTGTGGCCTGGCTAAGAGCTAGGCTACCCTGGTAGGCATCACTAGAGACTCCTCCTACAACAAGCAAAAACAAGATAGCCCTCTTTGGTGACTTCAATAATCAGTACTGCACCCCTGAGATGGAATGGCTGAGGACAAATCTGGACAGTAATCAAATATAGTCCTTCCAAAAAGCTGGCAAAAAGTAATAGCCAAAAACAGAAAGACCCAAGGATGGCTGTAATGCTCCATCTTATAAGGAGGGAATGAACAATATTTATGGAATAACTGCTACCTATAATAATGGTCTAAATGTATTCACCCTCGTTTCTGTAGAAAAGCTCAAAGCTCATACCAAGAAAGTAGAAAAATTGGTGTACGGCGCTCTTCATCTCATTAAGAATCACTTCTGAAATGACCATGAAGGGGATCAATGAACACTACATGGAGATAAGGAAAAGAGCCATTCGTTCTCAAGCTATGGTTATGGAGTATCCTTAAAGGCTGCCATTAGGTAGGAAGGGAGACTAATAGACAATTAAAACTCCGGGTGTTCAATTCTACTTCAAACAATACAGCTCCACTGTCATCTATTTAAGTGTCCCTGTTAAGATTTTTCTTTTCTTTTTTTTGGCTGCACCGCATGGCTTATGGGACCTTAGCTCCCTGACCAGGGACTGAACCCGGGGCACAGCAGTGAAAGCTCCGAGTCCTAACCACTAGAACACCAGGGGAATCCCCCCATTAAGATTTTAAGATCGTTTTTGTTAGGAAAAAAACTGACTCAGACTATAGCCCCTTGAGAAAAGGGTCGTATCTTGATTCAGCTATGAATATCTCCCAGTGCCTTCTACAGAAGAAAGGCTGTTTAATTACACGTTGAATACAATGGTCCACATTACAGGATTCCTTAGTGATTCTGGATAAGTTATCCTATTGTGGGATAACTGACTACAATAAAAAATATATAGAACTTCAGTATTCTTATGTATTATAAAGTTACTGGAAGAAAAACCAATCTATTCAAAGTAAGGACTCTAATTCAAGATAATAAAATCTTTTCTTTTTTTTTAATAAAAAAAAAGAAACCACACCATGTACAATGGTAATGTGTTAAAGTCAAGGACTGGGACTTCCCTGGTGGTCCAGTGGTAAAGAATCTGCCTTAAAATGGAGGGGACACAGGTTTGATCCCTGGTCAGGGAGCTAAGATTCCACATGCTGCGGGGCAACTAAGCCCGTGCGCTGTAACTAATGAGCTTGAGTGCCTCAACGAGAGAGCCCGTGTGCTCTGGAGCCCATGCACCCTTGAGCCCGTGTGCCACAACTAGAGAGAAAAACCCGCACGCCACAACTAGAGAGAAGCCCATGTGCCACAAGCAAGAGCCTGCACACCACAATGAAGAACCCACGCACCACAACTAAGACCCGACACGGCCAAATAAATAAATAAATATTAAAAAAAAAAAAAGAGTCAAGGATTATGAGTAATCCAACTCTGTGTACCTAAGGTTTGTAAGAAAAAAATATTTTTCTTGGTAAAAAAGAACTAGTGGAAAAAAATGAAGGAAACTGCAGACTAGATTTTCTGGAAAGGTAATAAGATGAAGTACCCCATGACGTATGTATAGGAATTAACACTGGTGTACAGAACCTATCTTGATATTTACCTCTGACCATAGTAGCTTTCAAAGAATTGTTCTTTCCAAGGCTCTACTTTTTTCTCCTTCTCAATCTCTTGTCGAATTCTCACCTGCATCTCAGGTGTAAACTCACCTGTATGTACCAAGGGGGAAAAAAAAGATATTCAATAGAAATATGCTATTTGTTACTTTCAACTATTTGTAAATCATGACAGACTCATGCAGGAGTCAGAATACTATCACATGAAAGTAACAGAAATTCCCCAAAATTCCTCACTGTAAGGGGAACTACCTAGGAGCCGTCAGGTGAAATAAAAACCCTTGCATGCCACTCCATGTAGTTGCCAGTGCGCAGCTGAAGTTAACTGGCCACTTCTCTGGGCCTTCCTTGCAGCAACCCTCACCTCTGCTTCAAATATCATAGTCCCTCTAGATTTCTTACAAACCTTGAGTCTGTCATTTCTTTTCCACTGGAAAAATAGTCATCTGGTCATAGGCTTTCAGTAAATAATGCCACTGGACACTTTATTATTAAAAAGTTCTGTTTCTCCAAGGCAACCTGTGTTTTAGGCCTTTTAGCTCTAACTGCATAATGAACAGTTATGGCCCTGCTTAAAGACATCTGAGGTTCCAGTAAAAAGGTAGGGAGTAGGAATTCCCTGGTGGCCCAGTGGTTAGGACTCTGTGCTTTCACTGCCGTGGGCCCAGGTTCAATCCCTGGTTGGGGAACTAACATCCCACAAGCTGCATGGTGTGGCAAAAAACAAAAAAAGATAAGGAGTTATTTTGGAGTTGTCAGTTTTCTAATTGTTCCAGAAACTGTACGAGTCTAGTGCCCTAGCAACAAGACACTCAATATGCCAAAGACCCAGCTGCTCTGAATATGCCATTTATTTTCAAAACTACCAACCACACCTCAATTCTTCCCACTCGATCAGTAGAGAACAATGAATGTGCTTGGTAGGCCATCGTCAAACCTGTGACTCAGATAGGCTGTTTTTTAATTCTCTAATGCCCAGGACATTAGAGAATAAGAAGTGGAAATGGCAGATTTGAAGTTTAAGACCTCCTGGGGGTAAGAAGAGGGAAAGGGAGAGTGCTAGAGGACAGTGGCTATCACAGTTCTACGCATATGAGTGGGAGAAGAGGGATCTGGCTGTCAGAATCTAACCCAGAACTTCTGAATTTCTGCTCTTTGGTTGTGTCTACTGTGCTTGATAGAATGAGGAATAAATAGTATTGAATTCTGTTCACATGTATACAGTGTTCAAAGTTTTTGCCACTCATGAAATATGATCGCATGACTATAGGTATAGCAGTGACTGTTCATATGCAAAAAAAGGGTAACATAATAATCAAGGTATCACTATTGATAATATCTACTTTTAAAAGTTGGGGAGTAGGGAACATAAATCCAAATTATTCTAAAAGAAAGTACTGGTAACAGGTATGTTTTAAAGTGCTCATGTGATTCTGACTCTTTCAGAAAAAGGGGGTCTCTGCTCAAGGAAATCTTTAAGAAAGAGAAAGGTTGAAAGTAATCAGTAAGAGATCCCTTCTACACAGAATTTGCCCTCAAAAGAAAAACAGGAAGGGAAAAGTCAACAACTACAGTGAAAAGTACAGATATTAAAAAAACCCACTGAAGCGCAGGCAAAACAAAATCATTGCTTTTGGGGCCCGGATGTCTGTATTTTAAAAAAATACCACAAGTTGGGCTTCCCTGGTGGCACAGTGGTTGAGAGTCCACCTGCCAATGCAGGGGACACGGGTTCGTGCCCCGGTCTGGGAAGATCCCACATGCCGCGGAGCAACGAGGCCCGTGAGCCATGGCCGCTGAGCCTGCGCGTCCGGAGCCTGTGCTCTGCAATGGGAGAGGCCACAGCAGTGAGAGGCCCGCGTACCCCCCAAAAAATAAAAAAAATAAAAAAATAAAAAATAAAAATAAAAATACCACAAGTGATTATAATGAGCAGTCAGGGTTAAGAACTGCTAATAGTGACTGATACTACATGCTACACAAACACAGTCAATCAATCACTTTTTTATGCTTTGTAATATACCCTCTATAAATCTGTTAGATCAGAATTAGAAACATGGCAAAGCATCATTCTTGATCATAACTTGTATTTATGAAAATGCTCTGGCTGCTACTGAACTGTATGCTGCAAATGGGTGAATTTTAGTACGTGAAACATTTCTCAAAGCAGTTTTTTAAAAAGTTCTTAGTTTTTAAGATTCTTTTTACTGTTAGTTTCGTTGAGATTGGGCAGCAAGAAACAAGTTATCTCACTGCTTACCAAACCATGATTCACAGCACCATAAAATAACTCTAATTCTATATTCTGCTTATTAAAATTTCAATTCTTAGGCATTAAGCTAGAATTAATGAAACAGAATCTTTAGGAATAGGGCCTAAAAGTCTATATTTATTTTAGTTTACCAGGTGACTTTAAACCCTTAAAGAAACATGCTGCTAAACTCCTTCTGGAGCCAAACCTGGTTACATGCTCTAAATAAAAGTCTAGCGATGTGTTTCACATAGAATAGCTAGTTCGACCTTATGAAATGTTCTATCCTTTGCTGTCCAAAACTGGGCAAATACCCACTGAGACTCAGAGGTGCAAATATGCCCTCCAAGTGCATACACATCCTAGGAGACACATAAAGTTGAACACTTACCTTCTGAAAGTCTTTCCTTCCAGCCTTGGGCTGCTGAAGTGAAGAACTCATTATTAAGGGCTGAGCCATTTAACTTCATCAGACCATCTGGACCAACCTGGGTCAAAGAATAAGCCACAGAAAGCTTAGAAAGAAAGCCAATTGTATCATGTGGAATTTGACGTTCCTGTCCTTTTAGAAAAGAATGTGTGTAAGTCAAATTTTACAGAAACATGACTGTATCATACCATGCTGCTTATTATGGACACTTCTATTTTATAATGTAATATTATTTTTTTTCTAAAAAACTTCTTTCCTGTTTACCTCTCCTCCCTTCTTCCTCTCCTTTCAATTCCATTCCCCACTGGTTAATTATACTCAAAGAATCATCTGCAAACAAATACATATATAAGAGGTTTTTTCTGAGAGGTTCATTATTTGTTTTACAAAACTGTGACCAAGTTACATACACTACTCTGAAACTTACTTTTCTCACATAATACAAGTGGAAGTCTCTCCAAGCCAACTGGCATAGTTTTAGCTCCTTTATAATAGCTGCAGATTGTTTCACTGTATCAATGTCCCTCAATACATTTACCAATGTCCTGATCATCAACATATTTTGTTTCCAGTGCTTTCCCATAATCAACAAAGCTGCAATAAGCATTCCAGTAAAGATGAATATACTAGTGCTTTTTTCTATGGGATAGGTTCTGAAAGCAAAGAAATGTGTGTGTGTGTGTGTGTGTGTGTGTGTGTGTGTGTGTGTATAACTAAAAGACTATTAGATTATTTTCCAGAAAGGCTAATAAAATAATGCACATTTCTACTAGAAATACACGAGCAGACTCCTTATCTTGTGAACAAGAGATATTAACATGCTATTTAATTTTTGCCTATTAATGAGTTTGAAATGATTAAAATTTCCTTCATCCTGACTATTAGTTTTGTGTATCTTTTTGCATGTTTATTGAATATTTAGATTTGCCATCTAGTGAAATGCCAATTCCTATTATTTGCTCACTACTCAATGAGGATGCTTATTTTTAACTATCTTGTAAGAATCCTTTGCATGTTATACATAGTAAAACTGCCATGTACTTTAAAGATATTTCCTCCAATCTATCTGTTCACTGACTTGATTTGTGATGTCTTGCCAAAAGGTTTTTTTTTTTCCCAAAAGGTTTTAAGATTCTTCTCTGCATCAGAGATTTTATTAACTGTCATTCTGCCCAAAGTTAATATCTAGATTTCTACCAGAATCTCTATGCAGATTTTTCATTAATAAAATGATCTTGGGCTTCCCTGGTGGCGCAGTGGTTGGGAGTCTGCCTGTCGATGCAGGGGACGCGGGTTCGTGCCCCGGTCCAGGAGGATCCCATGTGCCGCGGAGCAGCTGGGCCTGTGAGCCATGGCTGCTGGGCCTGCGTGTCAGAAGCCTGTGCTCCACAGTGGGAGAGGCCACGACAGTGAGAGGCCCGCGTACCGGTAAAAAAGAAAAAAAAAAAAAGATCTTAAAATTCACATGGAAAAAAAATTAATATGAAAAACTGAGAGGCGGGAATTGCCTTTCCAATTATTAAGCATACCACACAAAGCCACTGCAATCAAAACAATTATTACTAGCATTAGAGTGAACAAAGAAATGAGTGAAAGAGGAGAGAGTGCCTATAAATATAAACTGCCTGTAAATGAACAGAATATATAACAAAGATGGTATTTCAAACTGAGAGAAAAAGATGGTCATATAAGTATGTACTGCTGGAACGACTGGCCATCTAGTCAGTAGAAGATACGCTGAGCCACAATTTCAGAACAATATAAAAAATATTCTTGGGCTTCCCTGGTGGCACCATGGTTAAGAATCCGCCTGCCAATGCAGGAGTGGCGGGTTCAAGCCCTGGTCTGGGAAGATCCCACATGCTGCGGAGCAGCTAAGCCCGTGCACCACAGCTACCGAGCCTGCGCTGTAGAGCCTGCGAGCCCCAACTACTGAAGCCCGCGTGCCTAGAGCCTGAGCTCCGCAACAAGAGAAGCCACCACAACGAGAAGCCAGAGCACAAATAAAAAAAAAAAAAAAAAAAAAAGAACTAGGTTTAAAGCCCACACGCAGCAACAAAGCACAATGAAGAGTAGCCCCCACTCGCATATAATTAGTGGGGAAAGGAATTCTGAAATGAGATTTCTAATTTAAATATAAAACCAGTAAAAAAAAAAAGAAAAAAATATTCTAGATGGATTAAAAGACTAAATTTAAGCTTAAAGTCATAAACAATTTTTTGAAGAAAATTTAGGTAACTATTTGGACATCCTAGGGATTAAGGAACTCAACTCACTTTATTTTCTAAATCTATCTGGGCCAATATTATTTTCCCCTGGCCCTAGAGCAGAAATTGGAAACTTTTCCTATTAAGAGATAGACTACGAATAGGCTACATACTCTGTTGCAACAACTCAACTCTTGACACCGTGGCAGAAAGTAGCTATAGATAATATGCAGAAACTAATGGGAGTGGCTGAATGCCAATAAAACTTTATTTACAAAAACAGGCAGTGGGCTGAAATTGGCCTGCGGGCTAGTTTGCTGGCTGCTGATTTGTACTCTATAGATTTGGCAGAGGAGTAACAGGCTTCCCTATGAGGACAGGTCATCCAACATCTCCTTGAATATTCCAGTGCTGTGCAAGTTTCTCCAAAATAAGTCAATCCATTCTACAATTTAATAGCTCCAACTGTTTAAAAAAATGTTGTTTTAACCCCAAATTTGCTTCCTGGAGAAACAAAGAAGTTTACCTCTTCCAAAGAGGCCTTCAAATATATCTGAAGAGAGATGTTTTAACCCATGCCCCTCCCTTATTTCTTTCTCTGGTCTAAATAATGTTTTTCGACTGTTCATTGTTGAGTACTCCATACACTAAAAGATGGTTTCCAATGTTTCATGCTAGTAATAACCAGAATTTTTGATAAACTCCAAATTTCATCTGACAATGGAGCAGAATTTCATTAATAAATTCACTAATAATTTCACTAATAAACTCCATACTCCATATTCTCAGATTACTATGTCCTCCCACCACAGTAACTGAAAAAGACAGGCAAGTAGCCTCCTATTAAAAATACCCCACAGGGGACTTCCCTGGTGGCACAGTGGTTAAGAATTCGCCTGCCAGTGCAGGGGACACGGGTTCGAGCCCTGGTCCAGGAAGATCCCACATGCTGTGGAGCAACTAACCCCATGCCCCACAGCTACTGAGGCCTCACTCTGGAGCCCGCAAGCCACAACTACTGAGCCCGCATGCCACAACTACTGAAGCCTGCGCACCTAGAGCCTGTGCTCTGCAACAAAAAGCCACCGCCATGAGAAACCCGCGCACCACAATGAAGAGCAGCCCCCGCTCCCCACAACTAGAGAAAGCCTGTGCACAGCAACAAAGACCCAACACAGCTAAAAATAAATAAATAAATACATTAAAAAAAAAAAAATACCCCACAGGAATGGGAAGTTGGGTAAGTTTTAAGGTCCCTTTTAATTCCGAAATTACATGTGGCAATTCTCCTTCTAAGACAGGATAAGGGCCATTAGTCAAAAGACAGTTCTGAGGAACCCACACTAGAATTCTATAGATATATCCTCTGTTAGGTCTTGTGTTATTAGTCCCAACCTAAAATTTGAGTCTTTAAAAAAGATGAGAGCAATCCCTAGCAAGAAGAGCTCTCTAAAAACTGCCAAAACGTCAGTCTCCTAACTTGTTCTAACCAAGAACTGGGCATCCCAAAAGCTATAATTTCTTCAAGGATTGTTAAGGTGGGGAGAGCAGCAGCTGGGAAGGATCAGTTTTACTTCTTTGTCCCTACTGCTGGTAGTATACCTGACTTATCTGAACTCCTCAGAAATAGAATCTGACCTTTCACAGGTGCTGATTCATAGCAATATGAAATTGATATCAATATAATCTAGTAGAAGAATGATTTTCAGAATGAGAAAGATTTAGTTTTGACTTTTCTATAGACTAGGGAATATATCTAGTTTTCTTACTGTAAACCAGGGAAAACTACTCTCTCTCATAACGTTTTTATAATAATTAGCAAAAAGTGGAGTGCCTAACAGATTACTTAGAACATAGTTAGGTACTTCGAAATAATCATTAATTAAAAAAAAAAATCTCAGAATTGAACAAACCTCACAAAATCATAATGATCCTTTTGCAGAGGAGGAAACAGAAGATCAAAAGGGGTAGTGACTTGCTAGTCACTCCTTCCTTGATGAAAGCCTAAGTCTTAGACTTTTGCCTTATTCCTGACCAACCTAAATCTCTCTGGTCCCTGCCTAGACTCTTCCAAACCTTTGACATTTCTTCTGGGTACTGTTTTGTTTTTTTAAGGAGTATAACTTATATTGGATTTCAAAACTTATTACTGAAGCAATAAATGTTTGTTTTAGAAAAATTTAACAAAAGAAGGAAAAATAATTAACATTCTTAATCCCATCAAAAATCCATTCAAAAACCCCAGTGTAATGCCTTAAGACAATTCTTCCTCCTGAACTATATTCTGCGGATGTCTACATCCTAATATGATAGCTAGACAAATTTTATTCCATAATCTTGACATTTCTGATAAGAGGGTTCTTTTCCTTTATGAGCCTTATAGGGCCAACCTATTAAGAAATATTATTTCTTGTTTAACACCTTTGATATCACTTCTTTACAGGTACACACAAAAGCCATTTAAAAAGTCCTAAGGAGTTCTAAAGGTGATGATTGAAGGAAGCCCCAGATGGGTTATAAAACTGCTGATATGCCTGAAAGAACGCACCTGTCGATCCACCTCTGGAAGTAGCAGAAGCAGTCGCTGTTGGCAATCTCCAGGAAGGACTGAAAAGGTGTGTTTGTTGATTAGTGCTCGTAGGTTTGTATTAACCAGAATGGAGTCTGGTGTCTCAACATCAATTTCAGCACATTTAGTCCTCTTCATTTGCCCTATAAAAATATGGAAAAGAATCACTTGGGCCTCCTTCACATTCCTGTTTCTATCTAAACTATACCTTCCTCTGCAGTGCAAAAAAACCACAATTGTAAGTACTTTAAAACATCACACTGTGAAGAAGGTAACACTTAAGGTTCTCAGGAATAAACAAAGCCAAGTTCTGTTTGTTCATAAAGGATAAAAGAATATAAGTTATCTTCCCTGAAAAAATGGAATAAAGTCTGTAAAAGTACATCTTTTCCCATACTAAAAATACATTTTATGTTTGAGATTCAATCATTTCTCAATGGAACTAGCAAAGTTTATAATAAATAACACATACACAGAATGACTAAAAAAATGGAAAAATTCAAATATATATATAAATCATACTGAGGCTCTTTCTCCCTTCCCATGATAATTATTTTCATCAATTTTATTTGCATTAGCTAAAACTGTTATGATTGAGTAGCTTAGCAGTCAACAGAAAATCTGTTCACAATAGGAAGGCTTCAGTCTTTCAAAACACTGATGGATTTGAGTACAAAGTTTAAAACTTTTGCACCAAAAAAAAAAAAAAAAAAAGACTAACTTGGAAAAATATTTGCAAGCCACGACAAAAGGTTATTTTATTTTATTTTATTTTTCCAGCTGCACTACGCGGCATGCAGGATCTTAGTTCCCCAACCAGGGATCAAACGCATGCTCCCTGCAAAGGAAGGGCAGAGTCTTAACCACTGGACCACCAGGGAAGTCCCAGAAGGTTACAATTCTTGATATTAAATGTGCATCTATCTATAAATCAACATGAAAAAGATAAATATCACCAAGAGAAAAATGAGCAAAACGAATGAACATGCAATTCATAGTTGACTAACCATAAACAGCTGCTAAGGTATTAATATTTAAAGAAATGTCAGTTAAACTAATGAACATGTTTTGTCTATAAAATGGCAAATATTGCAGTATAGTGACGGGACTATTCACGGAAAAAGCAAAAACCACTTTCAAATAATGCTGGTGGGGCTGAAATCAGTATAATCTTATTAGAAGAAAATATAACAATACACAGAAAAATTTTAAGGTGCATAGGAATCTAAGATCCATAAATTCTACAATTAGGAATACTTGCAGAAAGTTACACAGTCCTGGATGTGGGTGACCTCTGGCTCCTGGCACAAACAAAAGTCATCTCCCTTGATAGGAAAGGATTCCCCTTAACTTAGGGCCATAGGATTCCTACAAATTAAAATCCAGCACTGCCTAACAAAGATTACCCTAACAAACCAGGAGGTATGCCAGTATGACAGAAAATAAGCAGTAACCAGAAATAGAAGATTTAGACCTATAAGTACTGCTATCACTGAAATTGTCACATACATAGAATACAGAATAGCTATGTATAAAATAATTAAAGAAGTAAAGAATGTAATTGTAAAGAGGCTAAAATAATCAGAAATGAACAAAAAGACTTTGAAAAACTAAATTTTAAAAATTGTTGAAATCAGATACCATGAGTGGGTTAAACAGGAGGGAATTACAGCCAAATAATTTATCCAGAATATAGAAAAGACAAATAAAACATTTTGAGAGCTTTAGCAGAAACATGAATGACAGAATGAGAAGGTCTAATACATGTGTGCTTGACTGGAGACCCAGAAAGAAGAAATTAAGAGAGTGGGAAAAGGAAATATTTGAATAATTTGCAGCAATACATTTACCAGATCTGATGAAAACCACAGACCTAAAGATCTAGAAGCAAAACATATTCAAAGCAGGATGAAAAGAAATCCATGCTTAGTAAAACTGCTCATCAAAGAACAAGAAATGGCTTGGAAGCATCCATAGGAAGGGAAAGATTTCCTAAAAAGGAACAGAATAACAGCAAGCATCTTAACAGTGAAGGAATCTGTAACAAATGGGTTAACTATAAAATGCTGAGAGAAAATAACCATCAATCTATAATGATATGTACACTAAACTCTCCTTCAAGAATGAACATAAAACAAAGATATTTACAGAAATAAAACAAAAATTGAGGGCATTTTCTACCAAGAGACATGCTCTAAATAAAGTTCTCAAAAACCTGTACTACAGGAAGGAAAATCACTGCAGATGGATGGGCTGGAATACAATGGAGAAAGATAGACATGCTTGCATAAAACGATAGCATTCTAGTGCCTGATCTGTGAGATTAAAAACAAAGAAGCGAAACGTCAGATAATAATATTATTTAAGTCCAAATAGAAAAAGATCAGTGCTAAATTGTTATAAAGTACTTCCATAGTTCTGGAAGAAAATCAAGATGGCCACTTTTTTGCTAAAAGAATACATCTTAGAAGTTCTCATCACAAGGTAAAAAAAATGTAACTGCATGAGGTGATGAATGTTTACTTACAGTGGTAAGCATTTTGCACTATATACATATATAAATCATCATGTTGCACACCTAAAACTAATAGAACAGAAAGAAATAGAATGTACATAAAACTCAGCAGAGAGAGAAAAAAACTATGAAGGGATTAAAATGGACACCATATAAAAATACTAGCAAACCGAATCCAACAATATACCATGATCATATACCATGATTAAAGTGGGATTTATCCCAGGGATGAAAGGATTCTTCGATATATGCAAATCAATCAATGTGATACACCACATTAACAAACTAAAGAATAAAAACCATATTATCATCTCAATAGATGCAGAAAATCTTTTGACAAAATTCAACACCCACTTATGATAAAAACTCTCCAGGAAGTGGGCATAGAGGGAACCTACCTCAACATAATAAAGGCCATATATGACAAACCCACAGCTAACATCATTCTCAATTGTGAAAAACTGAACTTCCTCTAAGATCAGGAACAAGATACAGATGTCCACTCTCGCCACTTTTATGCAACATAGTTTTGAAAGTTCTAGCCATGGCAATCAGAGAAGAAAAAGAAATAAAATGAATCTGTATTGGAAAAGAGGAAGTAAAACTATCACTGTTTGCAGATGACACGATACTATACACAGAAAATCCTGAAGGCTACCAGAAAACTACTGGAGCTCACCAATGAATTTGGTAAAGTTGCAGGACACAAAATTAATACACAGAAATCTCTTGCATTCCTATACACTAACAACAAAAGATCAGAAAGAGAAATTAAGGAAACAATTCCATTTACCACTGCATCAAAATGAAAAAAATACCCAGGAATAAATCTACCTTAGGAGACAAAAGACTACTCAGAAAACTATAAAATGCTGAGGAAAGAATTCAAAGATGACAGAAACAGATGGAGAGATATACGATGTTTCTGGATTAGAAGAATCAATATTGCCAAAATGACTATACTACCCAAAACAATCTACAGATTCAATGCAATACCTATCAAATTACCAATGGCATTTTTCACAGAACTAGAACAAAAAGTTTTACAATTTGTATGGAAACATAGAAGACTCAGAATAGCCAAAGCAATCTGGAGAAAGAAAAATGGAGCTAGAGGAATCAGTCTCGCTGACTTCAGACTATACTACAAAGCTACTGTAATCAAAATTGCATGGTACTGACACAAAAACAGAAATATAGATTAATGGAACAGGATAGAAAGTCCAGAGATAAATCCATGCACCTATGGTCAACTAATCTATGACAAAGGAGGCAAGCATATACAATGGAGAAAAGACAGTCTCAAGGAATTCTCAAGGAATTAATCTCCAAAATATACAAACAGCTCATGCAGCTCTATGTCAAAAAAACAAACAACTCAATCAAAAAATGGGCACAAGATCTAAATAGACAGTTCCCCAAAGAAGACATGCAGATGGCCAAAAAACACATGAAAAGATGCTCAACATCATTATCAGAGAAATGCACATCAAAACTACAATGTGGTATCACCTCATACCAGGCAGAATGGCCATCATCAAAAAGTCTACAAACAATAAATACTGGAGAGTGTGTGGAGAAAACGGAACCCTTCTACACTGTTGGTGGGAATATAAATTGGTACAACTACCATGGAGAACAGTATGGAGGCTCCTTAAAAAATAAAAACTACCATATGACCCAGCAATTGCACTCCTGGGCATATATCTGGAAAAAAAATCACAACCCGAAGGGATACATGCACCTTAATGTTCATTGCAGCACTATTTACAACAGCCAAGACATGGAAGCAACCTAAATGTCCATCAACAGAGGAATGGATAAAGACGTCGTACATATATACAATGAAATATTACTCAGCCATAAAAAAGAATGAAATAATGCAATTTGCAGCAACATGGATGGACCTAGAGATTATCATACTAAGTGAAGTAAGTCAGAAACACAAAGACAAATATTATATGATATCACTCATATGTGGAATATAATTAAAAAGAAATACAAATGAACTTATTTACAAAACAGAAGCAGACTTATAGAAAACAAACTTATGGTTACCAAAGGGGAAATGTGGTGGGGAGGGATAAATCAGGAGCTTGGGATGAACACATGCACACTATTATATAAGACAGATAACCAACAAGGACCTACTGTATAGCACCGGGAACTCTACCCAATATTCTGTGATAACCTATATGAGAAAAGAATCTAAAAAAGAATGAATGTATGTATATGTATAACTGAATCACTTTGCTATATACCTGAAACTAATACAAAGTTGTAAATCAACTATACTCCAATAAAAAACTTTTTTAAAATTAATTAATTATTTATTTTGGCTGCACTGAGCAGCATGTGGGGTCTTAGTTCCCCAACCAGGAATGGAATCCGAGGCCCCTGCAGGGGAAGGGTGGATTCTTAACCACTTGACTGCCAGGGAAATCCCTCCAATAAAAATTAAAAAAAAAAAAAAAAAAAAAGAGGCAAGCCAAAAAAAATTTGTTATTCATTAAAAAAAAGAGAAACAAACAAATAAAATCAGGACAAAGATCAACAAAAAAATAAGACTGTAGAAACAAGTCCAAATAGATTAACAATCACAATAAATATAAATGGATAAAATTCACCAAAGAAAAAAGATTTACATATTGAATTGAAAATAAAGAAAATTCAGCTAGCTATACACTGTGTAAAGAGATATACCTAAAGTACAAGGACATAGAAATGAACAAAGTAAAAATGTAACAGGCAAAAACTAACCATAGGAAAACTGGTGCACCTCTAGTAATATCAAACGAAAGACACTTTAAGTAAAACACTTAATCAGAGATTGACAAGGTAAAAAAAAGGGGGGAGGTTCAATCCACCAGGAACATTTTAAACTTGAAAATATCTAATATAAGGTAGCTTCAAAATATGTGAAATGAAAACTGACAGAACATCAGGGATAACTGAACAAAGCCACCATTAGGATAGGAGATTTCAACACATCTCCCTCAATTATTAATAAATCAAGCCATACCAAAAGCAGCCCAAAAAACAAGGGAGGGAAAAGGCTGAACTATTTTTCAGATAAACGAGCTTGATCCCATCAACACAGAATTCTGTGAATAACTACAGTACACTTATCAAGTTCATTATCAGTATTCCAAAAATGCAGGTCTCCATAAATTTGAAATATTAGTAGTAATTATAACAACAATGATCAATAACAGCAGCAGTAAACACATTTATATAGGGCTTCCTAAGTGTCAGGCACTATTTTAAACACTGACACGTATTAACTCATTTGTTTTTCATACAACCTTATTTGCATGAAAGAAGATGAATTTTCATTTATTTCTTGGCCATTAGGTCAAACTTAAATTTGCCATGCCTTCTTTTTCTATAGTTAATTTTAACTAGTTGTGTTATAAAAGTCAGAAATTCTTGGCCCATACTTTCTTAATTTTGTAACTCCACGTTTCAACTGCAATTGAATGAAGACACTAAAATTGTGACTTTAACTGAATTTACGTAGAATATTGGCTCTATAAGGAAGAAACTTTGTTCTGTTTATCACCATATCTCTTGGGCCCTAAACCTGTGCTTGGCATATTAGTATACCTTCTATAAGTATTTGTTGACTAAATGAATATTTTAATTTTTTAAATTTTTGGCCACGCCACACACCATGTGCAATCTTAGTTCCCCGACCAAGGATCGAACCGAACCCGTGCCCCCTGCCTTGGAAGCATGGAGTCTTAACCACTGGAGCACCAGGAAGTCCCAATAAATGAATATTTTTAATCTTTGGCAGTGCGACTGATGCTCAAAGGGCATATTCAGTTTAAGGCAGATACTGTCTCCAAGAAAAATGTACCAATTTACAATCCCACCTAGATTCAAACCAGATTTTTACAAAGAACTTGTCTGAAAATATTAATTCTATTCTCACACTTAATACTTTGGAAGGGTCTTTCCTTTAGAATTTTGTTGGCATTGCTGCACTATCGTTTAGCTTCTGTGTTGCTGTTGAGATGTCTGCCGTCCCAATTCTTGAATCTTTACATGTGAACTACTTTTTTTTCTTTGGAATCTTCTCGTTATCCTAGATGTTTTGAAATTTCAAAAGAATGGTCTTGGAACAGGTTTCTTTATGTTCATGTTTCTTGACAGGAATCACGTACTTTCAGTCTGGAATCTGTGGCTTTCAATTCTACAGAATTTTCTTGTATTATTTCTCTTATCATTTACCTTCCTTTCAATTTCTGTTCTTCTTTTCTGACACTCCTACTGTTTAAGACATTGGACAGCCTAGATTGGTGTTCCTACTTTCTTACCTTCTCTCTCCTTTGGCCTATGTTCTGGGAAATGTCTTCACCTCTAACTTTTAGTATTTCTATTAAAATGTTTTGATTTTTGCTACCATGTTATTTAATACCCTGGTACTCTTTATTTTCTTATTTTTAAAATAGTATTCTGTTCTTTCATGGATGCAGTATCATCTTTTCTTTCTGTGGATATTATAGTTTTTAAAGTTATTTGTTTATTAAGTTTTTTCCTTCCTGAACTGTTTCTTCTGAGTCTGTATTTCAGATTCTCTCATGACAGAGGTTTTCTTCAAAGGTGATCCTTAGTAATCACAAGTAAAAGAGAGGCACTAAAAAGACTGACTGAAAATTTTGGGTGCCTGGGTGCATCCTGTAGACTGGTGAGCTCCACAGAAGTATGATCAAGATGATCTCTTTTAGTTGCGAATCTATAAATTTGCCTGCAGATTTTTTTTCTGAGGCTATTCAATTTCTTTAGGGACCAATCCCACAATCTCTTGCTGAAGCATAGGTGGGGAGGAGGAACAGAGTAATGGAGGTAGAAATATGCCTCATTACTAACATTCTGGAAACCAAGCAAGCAGGAGGATCACTAGTATTTGTATTTTACTTGATTTCCCTGAGTCCGGTACATTGCCTCATTATCTGTCCTCAGTTATGTGTGGTGTCTCTGAATTTCAAGTCTAGATGGTTTAATTTCACCTCAAAATAAATCTCCTGTCTCCTGCTAGGCTGAGGCATCAAACTTCTTCTTATTAACTTTCAAAGGTTTTTCTTTTCAACCCTATGCTTCATCTTTCTCTACTATGAGAAAGATATCTCAGTCCTTGATACAGTATCTCCAATTCATAAACCTTTCTGGTTCTCTACAGGCTCAGCTGGCTTGCTGACTACTGGCGTCTGCTCCTCAGCTCTGTGAAAGACTCCATCCAGTTTTCTTTTCTTTCAAAATCTGTTGATATTTCCTGTCCATCTGTTGCCTCCTTATTTTCTTCACCCTAATGGGTTTAATCTTTTGTATTTCCATATTCTCACTTTATAGTGGGATTTTAGAGGAAGCAGGAAAAGGGGTTTGGTTTGCCATGTTTAATTATAAGCCCTTCTACCTTTCTGTACACAGAGATAAAAGGCAAATAATGCTGGATAAAGAAACCTCTTGTCAGAAAGAGAAATAAACCACAAAATGTCTGATAACAGATCTCATTCTGAAATGAAGTTTGATAGACAGGACAGGAAGAACATGAAAACAGTCAAGAGCTCAAAGGTGAACAGGAAGGAGCAATTAAGCCAAACAGTTGATGTATTTCAAACACAGAGTTGAAAATTTAAGGTGCGAGAACTGAGGTCTTTGTAAATTAACTTACTTGTGTGAAGCCTGTCAGACCTCTGGAATGACTTCTTTCCCAGGCCTAGCAAAGGATTTTCCACTTTAACTGAAGAAGAAAAGCTAGAGTTTGAGTTCTGAGGGCTGCTTGACTGTCCATCAGATTGCTTTCCTTCCCATATCACTAGGGGAAAAAATATATATGTATAAACATATTAAAAATATATATAAAATATGACCCTGAGGGTATAAACAGAAACTAAACAATCAATCAAATGAACAATTAAATCATTCAACGCTAACCAAAGGAGTTATGTATGAGGCAATGTGACCCTTCAAATGTGTTCTGAGTCTGAGAATTAGGAGTCAAAAAGTAAAATAAAATCCCTTTCCTCCTCCCAGCACATTATTTGCTTCTGGTGGTAAATTTCCTTCCTAACAAAAATGCAAAGTTCTGCAAGACAGTTTAAATCTGGCCAACTCATATAATCAGCTGGCATCAAACTAAATTGTGTAATAAAATACAAAGCCTGTATCTAGACCAGTTTAAATTCAAAACAAAATAAGCAATAACAACAAAAAATCCAAAGGCCTGTGGATATGTCCAATGGAAACCCAAATGTATCAAGAATTCTTAGGAAAACCCTTTATTTTTAAAGGAGAGAACCAGTGAAGAGTTCAGTGTGAGCATCTTGGAAACATCATCTTTATAAGGTTACTAATTAGAGGCTTCCAAATATTATTAGTTTAGACATATTGAAAGTTAGTCATTGATCTTATTCTAACATGCAAATCCCAATGATGTATTTTTTAACAACTGTATGATTACTCTGCATAAATTTCCCCCTTTACCCTAGAAGGATTTATACTGATGATCTGGCAGTAATATAATACAGTAATTTAAAAATAAAGGATATAGTATATGAATCTGGTATACAAAAACACTGGAAAAAGAAACTTTCACTGAAAAGACATTCAGTCTGCCTACCAGGTTTGGCAGGTACAGCGTCACTGGCTGCTTTGACAGTCTTCAGAGAGAGGTGCTGGTTGGAGGAGATGGACATGCTTGGCCTGCATTGCTGCTGCTGCTGTTTCTTCTGCTGTTGCTGTTTTAGAGCCTATAAAGAGAAAACTGACTGTAAGAAACAAAACAAATCAGTTTTTAGTAATAACAAAAAAATAAATGACTTCAAGTGGTGAAGAAGAGTATGCTGATTATCCGATTTCTTTGAAATCCATCAAAGTAAACAAAAATCTAAACTAATTAAACACAAGGCTTAAATAATCCTTAAGAGTTTCGATATTTTTTTTACCAATGTTCTCCTTTAAATAAATGTGAGAAATTGTCATTAACATTTTTAGAGCTTAAAAATCACCAGTAAGCCATGGACTTCTCATACTTGTAGTAGCAGAGAATTAGATGTTTTCAATCATTCTGAAAATAGAATTCTAAGCCCTGGACCAAGGAGAGTCCCATTTGCATCAACTTTATGTAGAAATGTAAATATTTAGCTTACGTATGTTTCAGAGGTTCTGCATTTGAACAAAAGGTTGTAAATAACTACTTGAATTTGATCTCAGGTAAGAGCAGTAAGATTTGGCCCAATGACCAAATAAATCTCAGCAATTTATAGCAATGCAGTAAACTGAAGGGAAGGAAGACTGGAAAACATGGGTTCTAAGAACAGTGTAATTCCTTCTGGTTATTTCAGAATATTTTAATTTCTATGACGTTCTTAGTTTAGAGAATATACTAAACTATTTAGAATGAACAGAAAGACAAATAGCTTCCCAGATTTTAATCATAAAGATATATAAAGGCTATTTTTAAACTCAAGGGTTTAAAAAGAAAAAAAGACAGAAACTAAGAAAGTAAAACTACATTTCAGGAAAAAGTTGAACATCTACGACCTCATTAAAATGCCAGTTTAAGCTTTAACCTTCACGACCATCATGTAGAAAAGTGTGGAATAACTGCCTACTTGTCTCCCATTCCCTTTTCACAATATGGTTTTCTCCTTTTCACATTCACATATACCTCTGGCTATGCCATGCAAGCACAGTGGCAACACTTGATCTCCTTGATCTAAGCTGTCAGTGGAGAAAAGAAACTGAGAGAGTCAGGTATCTGGCTTACATTCACCTACAACATTTATAATAGGTGAGGCAGAAGCATAATGTCAGTGTTGTCTGATCACTGATTACAGCTTGTCTCTCATTCTTTGCAATCAGAACAGAAAATGTTTGTAAGCTTCCTGTGTGGCAGCCATTAGTATTCATTCCTTTCTATTCACAGTACCTAGGTCATTCTAAGTTAATGCAAAATTTAATAGAGCCACTTGATCTTATCTATTTCTGCTATGATCATGTAAATTCAGATATATGATGAAAACAAAATAACTTACAGCCTCTCTGTTTAAGAACTGTACTCGGTTTTCCCCTCCCTCAGTAGCTTACAAACCCTGTTCTAATTCTGTTTAAAATTTAAAAAGCAAACAACAAAAAAACCCTTCACTGGGGTAAAGGATAACTTACACTGAAATAAGTTTTCTCACCTAATAATATGAAAAACATATACTGGAGGCAAGGCCTTACTTTACATACCAACAACCTAATTTATATAATTTCTCATACTGGTATTCCTTAAAGAAAATACAGTATTTGACTCCTGAGATTGCAGGAGAATAATACAGAGCAGTATATATGTCATGAATAAGCTAACAAGTTTTACTAAAATACTTGCCTTTTCTCTGTGGAAAAGAGGCATCTCATACTTTTTTTTTTTTTAATTAACATCTTTATTGGAGTATAATTACTTTACAATAGTGTGTTAGTATCTGCTTTATAACAAAGTGCATCTCATACTTCTTAAACTCTTGCAAAGAATGTGTAAAAATACAAGTGCTGCAGGATACCCAGGCAGATTGTAATTAACCTTATCAAATTTTTGGACATCTTTTAATAAAAACACTTTTGGTTTAAACACTTTAAGACCTACTTAATTAATTTTTTGTTGTTGTTGTGGTACGCGGGCCTCTCACTGTTGTGGCCTCTCCCGTTGTGGAGCACAGGCTCTGGACTTGCAGGCTCAGCGGCCATGGCTCACGGGCCGAGCCGCTCCGCGGCATGTGGGATCTTCCCAGACCGGGGCACAAACTTGGGTCTCCTGAATTGGCAGGCGGACTCTCAACCACTGTGCCACCAGGGAAGCCCATAATTAAAAAAATTTTATCTCATCTATCTATCTATCTATCTAGGGCTGCACTGCGCAGCTTATGGGATCTTAGTTCCCTGACCAGGGATTGAACCTGGGTCCCAGCAGTGAAAGCGCTGAGTCCTAACCACTGGACTGCCAGAGAACTCCCTTAAAATTTTAATTAAACACTTATGACATGAATACATTTTTACCATTTAATTCAAACATAAAGCTAAAACTCTCTTTTGCCCACCACTCAGTCTTGTTCCCCAATCCTCAAAGATAACCACAGTCATCAATTTATTTTTCCTTATTGAGCTTTTTTTTTTAAATTTATTTATTTATTTTTGGCTGTGTTGGGTCTTCGTTTCTGTGCGAGGGCTTTCTCTAGTTGTGGCAAGGGGGGCCACTCTTCATCGCGGTGCGTTGGGCCTCTCACTATCGCTGCCTCTCTTGTTCTCTGCGGAGCACAGGCTCCAGACACGCAGGCTCAGTAATTGTAGCTCACGGACCCAGTTGCTCCGTGGCATGTGGGATCTTCCCAGACCAGGGCTCGAACCCGTGTCCCGTGCATAAGCAGGCAGATTCTCAACCACTGCGCCACCAGGGAAGCCCCTTATTGAGCTTTTTTTACACTTACATTGTATGTATGTGTTTGTGTGTATATACAGATTCATATTTCCATTAAAAATATACTATTGTTCTGGGTATGTATGTGGCTATGTGTATGTTTTTAATGAATGTTGTAACACAACTTGATTTTAATGATTAAACATTATAGTGTGGTGATGTTTCCATGTCTATGCATACAGAAAAACTTAATTACAAGGTAAACTTTTAACCCTGTATAATTTTCTAGCATATGTATATGCCGCTGTTTATTAAGGAATTCATATATATATATATATATATATATATATATATCTCCACTTTCAAGTTTTTGCTATTACAAACTTTAATGCAAACATCTTCCTGTGTGTGTGTGTGTGTGTGTGTGTGTGTGTATGTAAGTATGTATGAATACATGCATTTTTCTAAGATAAGTTCCCAAATATTTAACTACTTAGTCATGGGGGATATGCATTTAAAATTTTAATAAACATAAAATTTCTCTCCAAAGTAGCTATAAGAATTTATATCCCACCAGCAAACTACAAGTAGTCATTTTCCCACATACTTGACAGTGCTTGTGCTTGATGTTATAATTAAGCTGTATTATATATACTAATCTGAGGATAAAATTAGTCTGTGCCCTTAATTATTAGTCAAATTTAAATTTACTGATAATTTGCATTTCAAAAAATAGAAAGCAAATTCTTTGAAAAGCCCAATAAAATAGTCGGCAAGTAACACTGAGAAAAAAGAAGATACATCACAAATGAACAACACTGATGAACAAAAGAGAAACATAAAAAACAATACTATGTACAACTTTATACCAATATTTGAAAAAAATCAAGTGAAATGGAGCATTTTCTAAGAAAAGTAAATTTCCAAAATTGGCTCAAAAATCAGAAAATCAAGAGATCAGTAGTAGTAGATGAAATTGCAATGCTAGGAAAACAGTTGTAAAAGTGAGATTTGCAGAACTTGCAGGGGAAAAAAATACTTTCTATGATTTTTTCCAAAAATCAGAAAAATAATAGAGGGCTTTACAACTTATTTTAGATGCTAAGAACAATCCTGATTCCAAAACTGTATAAGGATAGTACAAGAAAATAACAAAATCGAAGCTAAAATCTTAAATAAGAAAATTCCATTAACATATTAAAAATTATATAACAAACATATAGGGTTTATTCCAGAGAGCTAACAATACATTAACATTAGAAAGTCTAGCCCTGGAATTCCGTATATTGGTTGACTTAAAGAGAAAGGCTACCTGATCATCTTCATAAATGCTGAAGAAACTCAACCTGAAAAATTCAATACCTACTCTTAATTAAACACACACACACATACACACACACCCCTCACAGCAAACTGGAAACTAATGAGGAACTTTTAAAATGTGATAAAAAGAGTATCTACCATAAACCTGTAACACAGAGGTGCATAACTTACTAAATACAAAGTGGGAAACCACACAAAATTCCTCCCTAACGTCCTTTCAAGAAATTTTCACTGACTGCCAGAATCATGCATTTTTAATGTAGGAGATTATAATTCTGATAAACAGAATAGCATGATTACCTGCTTTAGTGCCTTCTTGCTGTGCTTCTGTGACGGAGAAATGACTTTACCTGCTGGAATGGTGGGTGATGGGCAGCCTGACTGAGGAGAGGATGGTTGTGACAGTCTAGACGATACTAGGGAGGAAAATGACAATGAAAAGTTTTGTTATTAGAGGTGATATCAAGCACCATTCCTTCCCCAATCATATGCTGCTACCTGTATTAAGAACTGTGACCAAACACTTTTGGGAAGGATCTTCTTTTTGGAGTTCTACTGCAAACAGCCTCCCTTTTCAGTTTATTTCCTCAGAAAGCTCTAGTGAAGGATGATAGGATGGGGAAGGGATGGATGTTAGTATTCATTACTTCTTTAATTCTTTAATTTTTCAATAGAATTGACTGAAGAAGCAGGAAGTAGAATATAAACCATGAGTCATCAACTAAGATAAAACTTAGAAAAGATGCTAGAGCCCGCTGGACAGTATCTATGTTCTTAAGGTAAATCTAATAACAACATGATATTGTGGAAGAGCCCTGGGTTGATAGAATGGGTTCCAGTTTTCCCTATCTTTAAAATGGAAGGCAATAAGGCCATTCCACCTCAAACACTACCATAGCTTTAATTTTTATATTCCTTCATCTCTTACATCAATAGTTTTAGGTCTACCCATGTGAAAGGGTACTTTAGGATTTCTCTGATGGAATCAGTGTAGGTTTGCACAGGATGTAACCACTCTCTACTTCATCACCAGCTGTTTTATAACTCATCAGAGCTTAGCCAAACCTTAGTATTACGTGAATGAGGGTTTTCCCTTCAAGGGCCTATACCTCTTATAATAAATAGCAATTAGATCTTTATGTTCTATAAAGTTCAACAGTGTATTATTTATGATACGAGATAACAAAAGAAATTGCTGATTCAGACCCCTTAATAATAAAAATAATAATCACTACTGCTAGTGATGACTCTCAAAGAATCCATGTTTACTAATGCCTTCTTTCAAAGTAGCTGGACTGAAAGGGCCTGGATAGCAAAATGGCATATCTCATGGTATGGCTAACGAGTCTTAAGATACCATATGAAGTATGCTGGCAGGTAGCTACCTGACATAAGAATGTAGAAACATGGTTCACTGGAATACATAAGTTTTGGAATATGGCATTTCAATGGACTCTTACATGTCCTAAGAAAGGAATGCACAGTAGACAACATTTAAAGAGGACAACAGTAGACAATGTTAAGAAGAAGACCTATCATAGTTAGCTTTAGCTTTGTATCCCAACCCTTATAATAAGGTTATATATGGGAAAGAACTGACATACAGTAAGCGTGGCGTTAAAAAAAAAAATTCACTGTAATATACAATACAAAAAATGGAGTTGGATAATTCTTGAGATGGTTAAGCAACAAAAAGAAACCATATCCTTAGTGCACTTAGATGTTGACCAATTTTTTAAAATAACAGTTTCACTGAGATATAACTTATATGCCACACAATTCACCTAAAGTGTACAACTCAATGGCTTTTAATATATTTGCAAAGTTGTGTAACCATCATCACAATCAATTTTCATCACCCACTAAAAAAACCCTGTACTGGTTAGCTGTCACTCCTCTTTCCCCTAACCCACTCCCCTAGTCCAAGGTAATCACCAATCTATTTTTTGTCCCTATGCACTTGCCTATTCTGGACATTTCATATAAATGGTATCACACAATATGTGCTGTTTTCTGAATGGCTTTTTTTTACTTAGCATGTTTTAAAGATTCACCTCTATTAGAGCATGTATCAATACTTTATTCCTTTTTATCATCAAATAATATTCTATTGTATGCATAGCCACATTTTGTTATTCATTAGCTGATTTGACATTTGAGTTGCTCAAAAGGACATTTGAGTTGCTTCCACGTTTTGCCATTACGAACACTCGTTAGCAGAATTTTGTGTTGGACATATGTTTTCAATTCTCCTGGGTTCATACCTAAAAGTGAAATTGCTGGTTTTTTCAGTAACTCTATGTTTAAACTCTTTGAGGAAGTGCTAAACTAATTTCCAAGATGGCTGAACCATTTTTTACAATTCCACCAGAAATGTATGAGTGTTCTAATTTCTCCATATCCTTGTCAACATTTGATATTGTCTGTCTTTTTTATTTGAGCAATGTTTTTAAAGGGACATTATGAAAATAAAGCTAAAAACTATTAATATTTAACTATATTTATTTTCACATCCTCACCTGTCCCAATAACTGTCTGAAAATAAACAGAAAACAAATGACCAAGCCAAAATGACCCCATTAAAGAACATATGAATTCTACTTTGTAGCCTGGAAAAGAGATAATAAAGCTATCTGTAATTACCAGGGCAAACTGTTTGGAATGTTTCCCTTTAAGGCAAAAGCCCTTTCTAACAAATGAATCCATAAACGTATCTCAAAGCCAACTGAAATAAATCACGAAAATTCCAGGACCCACCAATGAGGAATACCTCCCAGTACTTAATGCCAAGCACTGGTCTCATAACTTTAATGAAACTTAAACTTTACTCTAACTTTTAAATATTAAAGGTTCAGAACTACGAACAGCAAATAAGATTTAAACACATGTTGAGAAACTCATCTCTTTTAATTCCTTTTAGTGTCTACATTGTCTCCAAGACACATAACTTTATTAGAGCAACCATGAATTAAACATCGTCTATGTGCCTAATGCTGTGCTACGTTCATTTGAACAGAATTTCATTGAACTCTTGTAACTACCCTCTAAGATGGGTACAACTTCTCTTTCTACCCCCACCCAATCTCCTACAATTCTATCCTCTGAGATAACTAAATAATATAGTTGGGATGGCATCCTTGCTGACATTTTTCTATGCAAAAAAAAAAAAAAGAAAAAATTTCAAGGATATACATTTATAAATAAATAAATATACACACCTGCATATTGTGATGGTATTATCTAAATTTTCCCTATCTGGAAATTTAATTAGCCTGACCAAGGACACAGCTAGTAAGGAGCACAACCAAGATTTGGACTCTGTATAGTTTCAGAATGAGTGAGTACTTGTAGTGAGCTAAAGGGTAGCCACCAAAAGTCATGTCCATGTCCCAACCCCCAGAACGTGGAAATCTTACATTATTTGGAAAAGGAGTCTTGGCAGATTTAATAAAGGATCTTGAGATAAGGAGATCATCGTGGATTATTCCAGTGGGCCTTAAATCAAATGTCAAGTGACCGTAGACACAGGACAGGCACAGAGAAGAAGGTCATGTGGACAGAGGCAGAGACTGGAGGATGTGGCCATAGGGAAAGTATGTCAGCAACCACCAGAAGCTAGAAAATACACAGAACAGACTTCTCCCTTAGAGTCTCTGCAAAGAGTATAGCCCTGCTGACACCCTGACTTCCGACTTCTGGCCTCTAGAACTGTGAGAAATTAAATAAATTTCTGTTCTTTTAAGGCTCTTGGTTTGTGGTAATCTGTTACAGCAGCCTCAGAAAAGTAATACAGCACTTAAAACTGATTTTATTTTTTTAAAGTATCAACTCACAGATGTTTACATATTTGAAATGTTTACATCATTAGCAATTATTAAAAATTTGGCACTCAAACTGTGCACTTTTGGGGTAGTGGGAGTTCCTTCAAGTTGTAAACCATCTTTGGGACATGGCCCCAGCAGTATCTAACCACTTCCTTGCTATATGGCACAGAAAGAGTCCTAGGCAAATCTTGCATAATTTTTTTGCCCAGACTTGGAATACCCCCTTCTCCAAGGAGACCTGATACCTTTTTATTGAAAATGGTATTAAAATACTGCACTTGATGCTACTCAGTTACCACTGGTTCTAGAACTTCTCAGTGACTGGAACAAAAAAAAAAAAAAAAAGAATTTTTTTCAAAGGAAAAAATTTTTTAAATTCATGCAAAAGATAAATCAGAATTTATGATTACAGCATTGTCACTTAACTTTTCTGATTTTATATTTCTATCGCTTTTCTTCTCAGATAATCCTGGTTTCTAATAACATTACTGTAACTATTTAAAAGCCCTGAAAGGAGACACAGAGTTGGCCAACAGGTACATGGAAAGATGCTTAACATGACTAATCATCGAAGATATGCAAGTCAAAACCATAATGAGATATCACCTCACACTTGTCAGAACAGCTATCATCAAAAAGACAACAAATAACAAGTGCTGGCGAGGATGTGGAGAAACGGAACCCTCATGTACTGTTGGTGGGAATGTAAATTGGTGCAGCCACTATGGAAAACGAGAACAAAGATTCCTCAAAAAATTAAAAATAGAACTACCACATGATCCAGCAGTTCCACTCCTGGGTATTTATCCAAACAAAACAAAAACATAATCAGGAAAGATATATGCACCCCAATCCTATGTTCACTTCAGCATTATTTATAACAGCCAAGATATGGAAGCAATCTAAGTGCCCACCAACAGATGAATGGATAAAGATGTGCTATGTATGTATGCATGTACGTACAAACACACAGCACATGCACACACACACACACACACAACGTGGCACATTACTCAGCAATAAAAAAGAATGAAATCTTGTCACCATGTGTGGCAACAATGATGGATCCAGAGGGCATATTATACTAAATGAAGCCAGAAGAACAAAGACAAATACTGTATGATTTCACTTATATGTGGAACCTAAAAAACAAAACAAATGAACAACCAAAACTAAACAGAAACAGAATGGGAACTCCTTGGCAGTCCAATGGTAAGGACTTGGCACTTTCACTGCTGTGGCCCGAGTTCAATCCCTGGTCAGGGAAATAAGATCCTGTAAGCCGTGCATTGTGGCCAAAAAAAAAAAAAAAACCAGCAAAACCCAGAAACAGACCCATAGATACGGAGAACAAACAGGTGGTTGCCAGAGGGGAGAGTGGTGGTGAGGGGAAGAAAGAAACAGGTGAGGCAGATTAAGAGGTACAAACTTTGTTACCAAATAAATGAGCCACAGGTATGTAATATATCCTACCCTATGGGGAATATAGTCAATAATGGTATAATATCTTTGTGTGGTGACAGAGGACAACTAGACTTATCATGGTTATCATTCTGAAATACAGAATTATGGAATCACTATGTTTTGTACCA